ACGCCCCCCCCCCCCCCAAAAAAAGTCCAGTGGCACCTTTAAGACCAAGTTTTATTCAGGTACAAGCTCTCCCTCCTTTGTGAGGACAGATCTGCACCTCCCCTCCCCCAATAGCTAGCAATCCAAAAACAGTCCAGTGGCGCCTGAGCAGTGGGTGTTGCCTTCTGACACACTTCCGGTGATGTCAGGGGTGTGTGGCATATGCAGATAAGTTATGCTAATGAGTTATGCTAATGAGCTCCTGTGCCTCTTTTTCTACGAAATGACCCCTGGTGTTAGAGAGATGGCTAAACTGGCTAAACTGGCCAAATTGGCCTGGAGAACAATTGCTTCCTGGTCCCATTGAGCCGATCAGCATTTCCCTGGGGGTGTAAGGAAGAAAGGGCCTTTTTAGACCTGCATTGCTTCCCCCCCCACCCCCAATAGAGCCCGTCCAGGCTCTCCGCTCCTCTTTCGCACCAATCCTGCAGATCTGAATCATTGGCAAGCTCCCCTCCCTCCGGGGCTGGATATCCCCCCCGCTCCCATAGCCATGTGCGGACAGGCAGGGAAAGGGGGAGCGCCGGACGGAGCAGTGGGGCGGGGGCGGCTCTCCCTCCCTCTCCTGGATCGGGGCCTCCTCCCAGTATTTCCCTCCCACCCACTCCACATTTCCCAGCCTTGCACACACACACCCCGCCCCGCCCCGCTCTGCATGCCACCTTCACACATCCAAGAGAAGCAGGTCCTTCTGCACTCGGGGGGGAAACAAAAGCCGTTTTCCCCAGACCGTGGGGGAGAGTGAGGGGTCTGGGCAGGAAGTGACCCCCCCTTGCCTCTTTTGCTTCTCTAGGATTTGGGGCTCGCTCCCCTTAACCATTGGAGTGGCGGTGGCTCAAGTAGTTCAGCAGTTCGAGACCCGAGTGTGCCGCATGACAGCGTCTCTAGTCCCTGCTCCTGCTAACCTAGCAGTTCCAAAGCAAGAAATTGCAAGCAGTGTTCCCTCTACGCTGAGTTAGTGTGAGCTAGCTCACCGTTTTTCAGCCTCCGGCTCACACATTTTTGTCTCCGCTCAGGAAGGAGGACTCCAGAGCAAACTGATTCATGCAGTAGCCAAATCACTCGCTCACAGCTTTTATGCCAGTAGCTCACAACGTAGAATTTTTGCTCACAAGCCTCCACAGCTTAGAGGGAACATTGATTGCAAGTAGATAAATAGGTACCACTTCAGTTGGAAGGAACGTCTTCGGACAGTGCTGGCTCTTCGGCTTTGAAACGGAGATGAGCATTGCAACCAGTGTTCCCTCTAAGCTGAGTTGGTGTGAGCTAGCTCACAGGTTTTTAGCCTCCGGCTCACCCATTTTTGTCTTCGCTCAGGAAGGAGGGCTCCAGAGCAAACTGATTCATGCAGCAGCCAAATCCTTCGCTCACAACTTTAATGCCAGTGGCTCACAAAGTAGAATTTTTGCTCACAGGGTTCCACAGCTTAGGGGGAGCATTGACTGCAACCCTAGAGTCGGATTCGACTGGCTTTCGAGCAAGGGAACCTTTACCTTTTTTACCCCTTAACCATGCAGGTGTGTTTGCAGCCCCGCGGGTCTCCGAAAGCAGCATCCGCAACGGAGAACACAGTCCACGTTAATGCCTTTTAATTGGGAATGGCCCAGTGACCATAGAACAGTGTGAATGGCATGGAAGAAGCGTGCCTGCCGACGAAAGCTTATACCTTGAATAAAGCTTTGTTGCAAGGTTGCCAGGTCTGGGTTGGAATATACCTGGAGACTTTGGGGGTGGATCCGGGAAAGGGTGGGGTTTGGGGAGGGGAGGGGCCCCAGCAGGGTACAATGCCATAGAGTCCGCCCTGCGAACCAGAAGGTCAGAAGCAACCCACCATAGATCAATATGTCATTGCATAAGGCCTCCACTGGGAAAAGTTAAAGAGATATAACAGTATATATTTCTCCTACCCTTTTCCCTGGGTCATCAAGATGCTCTACAGCCTACCTGTTGTTGTCTCAACCCCACAGGTCACTCTATGCAGTGATAACTGGAAATAGCTGTGGAAAAATTCAAGTGAGGTTCTAAGGAGCAAGCCAGGAAGCCAATCAAAGGCCCAGATGCTACTCTTGGAAGCACAAACTGGAGAGCTTTCCATCTGGGGTCCTGTATCTGCCAATTTCGTCACATAAGTGGTCACAGCAGTTAGGTTCTCTGCTCCAGATGAGAGAGAAAGGCACCAAAGGGAACCATTTTCCACCCAGCAATCAGTGGGAAAATGCTGTGCCAACTGAAATTGTAAGTATATCTGCAGTAATGTGCTAATGAGTTTTGAAAAAGTTTAGCAGAATAACAAAACAGGGGAGCTGATCTCTGCCAGCTGGAGAGCAGTTGTAAAAAGCGGGGGATCCCCAGGCCGTACCTGGAGCCTGGCAACCAGTGTTCCCTCTAAGCTGAGTTAGTGTGATTTAGCTTACAGTTTTTTTAGCCTCTGGCTCACATGTTTTTGTCTTAGCTCAGGAAGGATGGCTCCAGAGCAAACCAATTTATGCAGCAGCCAAATCACTCACTCACAACTTTAACGCCAGTCGCTCACCAAGTAGAATTTTTGCTCACAAGACTCCACAGCTTAGAGGGAGCATTGCTGGCATCCCCACTTTGTTGGTCTTAAAGGTGCCCCTGGACTCAAACTTGGT